TCTCTGACAGCTCAAGAAAAATTCCTAGTAAACCCAGACGACCTTTGCCCTAGCGACCAGATGAGACCCTCTGATGGGAGTCTCTCAACGGTGCTCTACCCTCTCTGCACCATGAAAACATGACCTGGCCCCCGCTCTCTAGAGATTGACACATTTCCGCTGTTCAGTACTGAGTGACGCCCAGCTGATTTTGAAACCTCCCTCCCAACCAAGCGGTCAAATATGACCCCGCTCGTCAGGGGACTCCCAAAGATAGTGCGCTGGTGAGGAAAGCACTAGAACTGAAAAAACTGCATGCGCACTACTGAGTTCCTTTCGTTTATTGGACTAGTTTGACAAACCAACTTTGAGCACCTGTGCGCCTCACCTCAGGAAGAGATATAGGGATGTCCCAATATTTCGCGTTTCTTCTGATATCCATGTCCATGTAGATCCGCTTTTTCTCCAGCAGCATCGGGGCTCCATTATTTTCTGAATAGAGGTCTCTTCGAGAACTACAGTTTATGCTACAGCTGTTTGATGAACACACAACGCACAGTTTCTGAATCATTGGCATGAGAGCGACCCCTAATGGATTTAAGCTTGGGCAGCAAGAAGACTGATCGCGATTCGATCGATTTCTACGGATAGATAACGCCCAGCTCCACCCAATGGAACTAGGCAATTCGTACAGTTGCACTGATCCGCTCAAGATATTCTTTGTAACTTGCCTTTCTCCAACTCGAATCATCTTTCCTATCCTGCAAATCGATTATTTTTCGTTCACTTTTGTACCTCGAATTAGTCCTAATATTCTCCCTTAGGGACCCTCCTATCAGTTCACCTAGTATCCTAAAAGCGCACCACAAACACCACATACATGACATACTATCAGTTTTAATCTTTCATAGGCCTCGTTGCAGGTCATATTTGTAGTGAGAGAAAACATCTTGCCGGAAAATCCGCTTCCTGTAGAATATAACATCGTTGGGAGAATCACATCAGGAGGGGAAGCACTTCTTCTTTGAAAGAGGGTGGTAGCGCAAGATAAATCTCTCCGAATTTCTCGCTTCATAGTGCTATAAATTGGGCAATTGGAAGGCTTCCATCACGGAAGATGGTACGCAGGATACCTCGCGACGGCGCTGGACAACGCTAGGAAAAAAGTTAACATTCATAGCCGCTTGCAAGACTGTTTCACACAGCCGATAACAAACCATTCAGTCAGGGCAGTTTCATGAGGGATGTAGTGAGCCACGCGCTACGTTCTAACTACTGGTTGTTTCCGTCGAGAATCGTTCAATGGCCGGTTACGATTGGTAGAGGAGAGGAGCAGGATTCGGGTTCATCCCGCCCCTCCTGTCACCGGCCCGGCTGATTGCAACGTTACAAACCATACTTATTGCGGTCACTTCACTGCAGATTCAAAAATCGTCACTCACTTACTCGTTGCCTTTATAACGCCAGCCAAATAGAATGGACGAAGGTGGACGTCAATTGGCCATATCTGTCGGTATCTCATCAGACCCTTAAATAAAATGTCATCTGCTTATTCGAAAAACAAAAAAGAGAGTATATTCCAGAATAGATCAGTTGGGAATAAATAGTTCATGCACCAAAGCGGGACCAAAAAAGGCGATACGGCCTTATAAGGAGTCCCTATACTGAAGTAATTCCACATTTCGCGTTGAGTATGTGAATTGTTATTTTTTTGCTTTGAACGAAACCGATTTCATAAGATTTCGTAGCTTCGGCCATATTGAGAGCACAAAAATCAAGATTTTGAGTGTGTCTTATCGTTCGGCAACGTAATCAAGGTTCACTGGGAGAGAAACACTAAATAAAGGTTTTCTCACCAGAAGTGAAAAAGAACGGGAAGACAGCCTTGTTTTGTTGCGGGCGCCGAGGGCGTGCCAGAAAGGCTGGACTTGGCGCGGGGCCAGCATCGAGCTTTTCCGCACCAAAATTGTAATCGCTCACCTAGTTCCGCACCCTTGATGGGAACGAGTTCAGCGACCGCCATCAAACCCTAACCCCTAAAGGCACCAGCGCATACGCCCGAAACAAGACTGGGTTGCAAGGTAGACACTAATTTCAGATCTCGTTTTTATGAAGAGCGTGAGGTGCGGGTTTTAATGCTGAATGGGACCAACACATTTGCCCAATAACCCAACACTCTTGTTATTTACAGAGTTTAATACATCTCTGGCTGGGACTATACATGGTGATTCTTACTGTATGTGTGCCATTTCTTACTGTTTCTGAGTGTATGATCAAAGCAGTCGAAAATGCCGAACCTCGAATCCAATCCAGCTGTAGGGTGAGATTACGTCGAAGAAGAAATCTATTCGGATACGTGAACCCATATTTGCTAGGAAAGCACCTGCAAAACGCATTAGAAAATCTGAAGCCAGTCATCAATCTGGTTGAAGGACATCTGCACACTGGCCTTCGCGGACCCTGGTCCTTGCCATGTAGGAGGAGGGCGGGTCTGCAGCTGTAGCCACTTTCTTCGTCGAAAAGAGAACGGGAACGGGGCTGAGGGTTGTTGCTCACGGCCAGCCACATGCCTGACCATAGTTGAATGCGCTACTTGTCTGCACCCCTCACTACTGGTTGCTCCCTACCTCTGACTGTGTGCTCGCTACGAGGTTTTGGTATCGACGCCACTCCTCGAGGACTGCGGGGACAGTGGAAAAGGTACCCGGATATTGCTACTCACTAGCTTCGTTCCTGTGCACTTCTGAGCGGAGAAAGTGACACGCTACTACAGCTGCAGACCCATTCACTCGCATATGGCAAGGACCGTTCTCGGAGATGAGTGTGCGGCATGTCTTAGAACAGAAGAGATAGAGAGAACAGGTAAAAACAATGTCGCTGGCCGAGTCCGACCCTAGAGTTACAAAACACATAAAATATTCTTTGAACCCGTAATACGTAATAAGCCGAAGATTCAAATCCTATTCCATTATTTTGGCTGATAAGT